GCCAAACCAAACCATCCTGCTTGGTTACGAACAAAGAAAGAACCATGTTCATTTACATTTCTCTTTCTTGCTGCAAACACCCATGTCTTGAGCCCTTTAGTGGAAGTGCTGGTGCAGTGTGTCACGACACAGCGAGGGCCGTCAGTGTCCAGCAGTCAGGGGTGGGGGTGCCCAGGGCTGGGCAACAAAAAACAGAAATAGTCCTCTGTGACACCAGGGGCTTCCTGGCAGTGTGAGTCACTGTCTGTTCCCCAAAGCCTGTTCTGTTTTCCCTGGAATTATGTGCTTTTCCCAGTGAATTCTGATGTGGCAGAGAACTATGACATGTACTGACCTCTGGCTTCTAGTCCTGGCCTCTAAGAGCGATTGAACTGGACACGTTCTGCCCATCAAACGTCTGCTCCAAGACAGCTCTGTGGTCTAGCTCAGGGCAATCTGATTTAAGCAATACTTGTATTTGGAAACCATTGGGACTGCTAATTATCTTTCTGGAATAATATGAAATTTCAAACTGATGAGATATGAGATCAGGCCCACTGCTAATGTAGGCACACAAAAATGTACTGCTTTCACTTTGCAGAGAAGGGAACTACTTTGTCTAGCTTGTTTCTTTGACCTTCATAAAGCATTAAAACACCCACCAGAAGGGATCTTTTTTTACTTTGAAGGATTTTAGTTTTGCAATGTTTTGAGGATATGTAAAGTTGTTTTATCTTAGTTGAAGGTGGGTATATTACTTCTTGTTCCATGGCACTACCAACATAGAACCCAAGAATGCATAAAAGATCTTAATAGCATTTCCTTCCAATGTTTTGGGAATAAAAAATAGCAGAAAACTGAGAGAAAGTAGTACAAGTAAGGTAAGGCAACCTTAGACTGGTTTCTTCTAAAGATAGTGAAGTTGGTGATTAAAACTGTATGGAAAAGCTCAGTTTTGTATAGTGGAAGGAGTTTCTTACTTTTTGTTGTTGATGTTCAAGTTTGGTACAAGCATTTGCTTTGAAGAAGATTTTTGAAGAAAAACTAGAGACTGATGACTACTCTAAGGGTGAGTGTGTTTACCAAGAACTTGTCAGACATCCTGGTTTACTCTTTACTCAGTCACATTCAGGTGAGAGAATTTATCCAACCACCCTATATTCCTGTATGCTTCCTACACATCCAGTCATCACGCAGCTTCTGCTGCCTGCTTAGGAGCAAGGAATTGAGCCTACCTCCAACACCTTCTTGGTGAATGTCCAAACTTCTGGGCCTTTGCCTGGTGTTTTTCTTCCCTCTCTTGCTCTATCTGATTTAAAATAAAAATTTTATAAAAGGTGTCTTATACCTTGAATAATCTAATGAGTAAAAATTCCATGAAAAAAAAAATTATGTGCAATCAGCAAGTTTTGTAATCCAAAGGATATTATGGGATGTAGTACCTGATTCACATCCTGGAATCTCCAGGAGGTCCCTTCTTGCAATCCTAACTTTTGTTTCTAGCTCTTTCTTCCCTCTTCAGTAAGAATAGGCTTTGGGCCAAGACTCTTTGGTCAGAACCAAGTTTTCTTCTCCTGTGCTCTGTCTTGCTGGCTGTTACCTCCAGTGCTGATGCATTTTGTGCCTGTCTGTGTACATCCACATGTGCAGCCAAGCTCTGACATGCTGCAGTATGTGCACCATTCCTCAAGCACGCTGGGATCTTTCCCAGGAGAGCTGTATAGCTGTAAAATGTTTTGAATGCTTTACTTTTTTCCATAAATCAGGTTGCAACATCATTATTTTTTGTGTCTCTCACACTGAACAAATTCCTTGTTATGATGTAGCAGGGATATTAACAGCCTGGTGCATGGCCAGAGGAGCAGGCTAAAGCCAGAAAGGAGGGAGGAGGTGAGAAAAATTAGTGCTAGAACTAAGTGTGAGTGCCATCATTTCAGTCACTGGAAGGATTAGGCCTAAGACTCCAGTGTTAAACACATTGGCTTTAAACACCTTAGTAGCCCTACTGAAGTCATCGAGGGTTTTTACTGTGATTAACAGCTGGGTTGAGTCCTGGCCTGTGAGCCTCAGTGCCTGTTATTTGTCAAGGAAACACTGAAAATTTACTTAACACTCTGGGACTTTCATATCAACATGGTTATTGTCATTTCTGTAGTTCATTGATTTGCAGCGGGGATTTCCTCTCAGGTCTGTCCTGCAGCTTCCAGTGGCCATGAAACTTTGTTCTTAATATTTTTATTTTGTTGCACTTAAACACTAAACAACTGGGAAAAACTATAAAAAAACCCCTTTATTATTTAGGCTTATTTTAATATAAAGCTTTTTCCCCCCGCCAGCCTTTCAACATGGTATGTGTTAACTTGGTATATTTTAGCAAATAACTTTGCCCATCCCAGTTCTACGTGTTCTCCCTGAACACACCATTATTCAGTGCAGTTCCACGGGAGGATTTTGCCAAGTGGACAGTATACCTTAGATGCTGACAGGAAGGACTTAGCCATCAAACAAAAACAGCATTAAAAAATCCCAAGCAGACTTGAAAATCTGCATCTGGGAAAGTGGGAAAATTCAAATTCTTCACAGTAAATGATTCACAAACCATAGCAAAATATGATGGCCAGTATGAAAAAAGGATTTTGGAGCTGCCTACTCTTGGGTATATTTTAGGTGCTGTTTTGCAGGGGGTGGCAGAGTGTCTGTGTAACTGATACTTTCTACAACTCCATTTCTATCTTTGGGAAGTTGCAACTGGCATTTTAGAACTCAGCATGTCAAAGTGCCGCTTGTGTCCCCTTGAGTGCCTCCTTGAGTGCAGGAGGTGAGTCCCACGAGGCAGCGTGTTGGCACGGCACCGTGTGTGCACAGCGGGGGTGGCGCGGGTGGGACACCTCTCACGGGCGCTGCTTGGTGACACTTGGTGGCTGGAGCACACGCGTGCTGCGGGTTGGCACTGGCACACGCTCTGCCTGTGACGTGATGGGCTGTAAAAGAGAAGGTATTTCCCAGTGCCTACGAGAGGAAATCCGTGCTCAAGCGCTGGTGTCGTCAAGCCTGGCGCAGAAGCCGCTGTGCTGGTGAATATTTGTGTAATGAATTGTGTGCAGACTGTGTCCCTGTCCTTCCCCACGGAGGAGGACCCAGCCAAGCTGAAGACACTGCTGTGTAAGTACTGACCCACCGCTGGTGAACAGAGTGTCAGGAAATCTGGATCAGGCAGAGCCTCTCCAAAGATCTGTGGAGTGGAGCCAAGGAGGGGTGGGAGGGGAGCATCTCCAGTTCAGACAGGGAGTTTTGGACCAAGCCTGGGCACCCAAAGAGAGAAAGTCTCTTGGCCATGGCAGATGCAGTGCCTCATGCCCACCTGCTCCACAGTAAACATTGGATCGTGCCTGAAATGAAAGATAAGTATTCAATTAAAAGAGCAGGCACAGCAGAATTCCTGAAAAAAATGGCTCAGCCATTCAGGAGGACACATTCCAGATAAGTTATCGGTGTAATTCAAAATTCATAAGAACATTCAAGGACCGAAATCCATATTATGGTTTAAACTTGTTTTACTCACAGTACTATCTAGTGTATAAGGTAAGCATGGTTTTGTGATAAAAGCCTTTTATCCTCTTTTGCCCCCCTTTTTTTTTTTTTTACAAAAGTATTGACATTTCTGTATTCTAATAATTTTTCTGTTTGAGCATATAATTTTTTATTACTTTTTCTGGTAGGCTTTCCTAAATTTACTCCCTTTGCTTTGTTTTCTGCTGTGAATCTGAACATTTGCTTAATCTATTATCAATAAATGCTAAATAGGCTTCAGGCTGAACACAAAAACTACTGAGATCCAAGGAAGTTGGATCTATAAGGGATTCTGCAGGGGATTCTAGGCAAACCAGGTACCAGTTCTAGAGTCTTGGTGTATGCCCTTGCTTGGCATTCTAAGACTTGTGAATGAAAGGCATGTGCATTAGTAAATGTATTCAAATACCATAATAACAAAGATACAATTCCTTCATGAACCACAAGTTCTGCCAAAGCATTGCTGTAGATGTTTATTTTCATGTCAAAAGCAGAGATGTACCTGGACAGCCCCTGTGAAGGTACCATGTGCATTTACTAACATACAAATCCTTATCTCTTGGGAAAAAAATGTGGGGACATTCAAGACATCACATTTGCAAAGTAAGTATTCAGAGGAAGTTTTCTGAGCTGTGGGTATACAGTGATGTCCAAAACCAATGAGCCCTTTCAGAGGAAGTTACTATTAGTGATTTCTGTTCCAGTCTAAAGCCTCTGAAGACACATTTTCAATTGTGAACTCCCCACTGAACTCAAATGAAGTCACATTCTCAGCTTCAGAGGGGCTGTGACATGTACTTACAGCTAAACATATGTTAACCTCCCCTTTTGGATCAGGATCATGTTCTCCAGTATTCCACATGCATGAAAACATGGAGTTTCTTAACTCTTGTGCCTTCCAGTTAATGAAATATCACAGAGTAGGATAGGTTAATCCATATAATTTGCATGAAGTTCAATAAATCATTTTAACAAAATTTAACAGTTATATTTAGCTTGATACTCAGAAATGTTAACACCCTGCTTTTAATGTGACAGATTGGATTTGGAAAGCAATATAAAACGTGGGTTTCAGTGTGTAGAATTTTTTATTTCCACAACTTAAGGATGCTGTTAAGATCCATGTGCCTTTTTAAGATCTATTGTACCATTTAAAATCCAACCTGTGCTAGATTGCCAAAACCATTTATCTTAGATTTTAGTGCTCTGGAGAAGTTAAAACTGGGATCTTCTATTACCCTTTATTTTCTTAAAGAAGTAGTTAGAAGTAAAGACTAGCTCTGTTTCTGTTGTTGGCATAGAGATTTTTATTCATAAAATTAGAGTGTTTCAAATAAGAGTAAACTAACTTTGCAAAAAAAAAGCATATTTAATCTATGACCAAGACAGTTATTTGTTTGTTTTTTCCCTCTTTTTTTCTTTTTTCTTCCTCCATCCACCTCCCCCAATAGGTGACGTGCATGCAGTGGTTGCAAGGGGACCATACGATGCTGGACATGATTGAAAAAAAGCGTTGCCTCTGCAAAGAGATCAAAGCTCGACAGAAATCAGAGAAAGGACTCTGCAAACAGGACAGCATGCCTATCTTGCCAAGTTGGAAAAAGAATGCTGGGACCAAGAAATACAGCCCTCCTCCTTATTCCAAACAACAAACTGTTTTCTGGGACACTGCAATTTGACAGGCCTGTGGAGGATGCCCTCTCCACTGTGTGGCACCAAGCACAGGTAGCCTGCTTTCTTTAAAAGGCAAAGGCTCTAATCTAAGACTTACCTGCAGGTGGTGAACTTCCTAGGAAAAAAACACACCAGTACATTGCTCACCTGTCAATCAAGAGAGAGACTTAAGTTTCCGACTGGATTAAGGCATACATATTTATCCAGGATTTTTTTGGATCCAGAAGATATCAAATGTAAATATTTCACCAATATATTGAAAACACCCAAACTAATACACTGTTTAAATATATAAATATATATATATAAATTCAAAAATTTATGGAGAATTTTACTATATAATGTTACTGTTATACTGTTTTATTACCTATTTTCTATGTTCTATTCTACTCCTCACCCCTGCCGCCACCATTTTATTTCTCTGACCTGCCTAGATGTGGCCTCTGTACAAAAGCATGTGGTTGTACGTGTTGTTGGAGAGGACAATGTACAAAACAACTCGGTGCTAGGGCTGTAGAGGATAACTAGAGTCGTACTTGTTAGATGTCCTTAGCTAGGGGGGTGGGATGGACAAAGGAGAGAGTTCTGGTGGGAAACAGCAAACCTGCAAGCACTGAAAGTACAAGTGCTCAGTGCAGGTGCCCAAGCTGCATTTAAAATATTAATTGTTCTGCATCTGTTTTCCCATAATGATAACCAGATTAATTGTCCTTGGTTTTATATGAACCATTCACTAAAATGATTTGGCCAAGGAACTAAATTTTCTGCAGCACAGCCTGCGACAGAATCTCTTCCCTGAAGACGTTCCATTGATTAGCAGAGACCATGGTTCACTGTGACTAAGCATTGTGCAGCCCTTGGCGGAGAGAGCCGGCGGCTCAGCGGGGTGAGGCAGTGCCACTGCAGCCGCCGTCCCCGTCCACATTTACCGACGGTCCAGAAAATAAAGGCGACAAAATATGTTTACATGTTTATTATTTTAAATCCAGCAGCACATCCTTACTTACGCTGTGTCAGATTTCCTCGTGTTGTTTCTGTGGGCTGGATTTCAGACCCCTTGAAAGGCTGTTGGGAAATCCCTCTTGGTTTCATGCCGTTTTGAAGCAGAAGCCCACGTAACGCTTTCTCCCGGCTATGCCGTTTCTTCTTCCTGGCTGCTTCTGGAATTGGCTTGCAATCCTGTATTGTATTACATCCATTTTAACAAAATATTATGTCATGACCAAAGAATTACGACCTCCTGGTTTTAACGGGAGAAAGGGATGGCTTATACTGATTATGAGGGTGAAATCTGTGCGGTGAAATATCTTCCAAAAGGATCTGTTGAGGACGAGGGAAAATTGTACTGCGGTGGAGTAGGGGGAAAGAAAGATCTATGGCATATATTTTGTATATTAAAATTTCTATCTATGTGTCTGAAGTTTGGTAGTACAAAATTCCCTCTTTAAAACAATCATTTTAATGTTATATTCACCAAGAAGAAAAGGTGTGTTGTTTGAAACTTCTTATTATATTGGCTTTTCTTTAAAATTATATTGACAGCATTGCCACAGCTGTAATTGCTGATCAAAAAAGACCAAAAATAACAAATTTTAGAAGGTTTTTTGTAATCTATATTGCTAAAGTTTGAGTTTCAGTAATGTTTTATCAGTAGTAGTTTCTTTTCAGCCTCTGAAATAAAGTTTTTAAATATTTTATAACTAATTAACTAATGTATATTTTGATGTCCAAACTGAGATTTCTGTAAAAGATGAAGTGTGTGTTTATATGTGTGTATGTATATTAGCATTACTGTATATGTATATATGCATATGTGTACACACATATACATGTATATATGCATGTATCTATATATACCCATAGATGTGTGCATACGTATATCCGCATATGTTAAATATTGGTGTGTTAGGAATATACAAAGGCTGGAATAGGTACAGAGTTGAAATTCAGATTTGAAGACTCCCTCACAGCCAAAATGACAGAAGACATGAAAAAACCTGGAGGCTGTCAGGGAATCTTTGAACACCTTGCATCCGAAAGACACCAACTGTTTATTCTGCTTATTCTCTCTTTTTTAAAGAAAGAAAATTGCAGAAGAAAAACTCCAGAAATCTCGCAAAGTTCCAGAATCTGCTGGAAAGAAGACTTGTTGGTCATGAGAAATCTGTTGAGATAACAGGTTCATTATTCAGCAAGTGTTCATGGTTTGTCTTCCTTGTAATGTGGCAAGAGAAGAATTTCCCATATCCACGTGTGAAACACTTAGCTCAGCCCTTTCCCCCAGCTGCACAAAGTCACTGGTGACAGAACACAAGCAGGCGTTCGGCTCTGCCAGTCCTTGTCCTCACTGGTTTCCTCCTGGAGCAGCTCCAGGAACGTCGCTGGCAGCGCAGACCCTGGGCACACCTGCCGGGGGAAGGCAGTGTCAGTGTGAACGGTTCTGTCCTTGCTGGTGTTTGTTCATATCGTGTCCTTTCCATATGACATGTAACAGGAATAATGATCAGGGAATTGAAGCGTTCTTGTCCTAGAGCAGACTTGCTTGTACACTTAGCCCGCTGCAAACTCCTTGTTTTGCTTTTATTGCTCAACACTGTTTATGTTGTCCTTCCTAAATAACTGCCCATGTGCTTCCAGACCTCCATTGTATCCCATGGAAACAATGGCTTTTTGTTTTAAAGTGCAACATGAATAAGTAAAATATAACTTAGCACTTACCTTCAAAGCACTTTAGAAATGTGAAGTAAACCTCATGCTTGTGAGAGCCGTTTTACTGAGGAGGGACGTGAGGCTCGGGCAGAGTAGTTTCCCAAGGTCAGGGACAGAGCCAGAGCAGGACACAGCCACTGCCCTGTCCCCTGACCCACCTGGCCCACCCCATGGCTCAAGTAAAAGGCACGTGGTCCTGCCGAGAGCTGCCATCACAATGCTGTCACACATTTCCTACATCACCTCTTGTTTCAGCAGCTTCTGTGTCACAGGGTGAATGATAGTGCTTAGTTACACACGGTCATTAAAGCTGTAGTCTGTATAAATATGCAATCTGTATATACATACAGATCACATATATACACACACTTATGGAGACTGTATATATGAAATTGTTTGGTATGCACTTATTTTGCTTTAAACTCCTGAAGTTAAACATTATAGTGTAGCAATTTGTGTAAGGTGCACTGTGATTTCAAGAAAGCACAGTAAAGTCACAGGTCTTGTTATTCTTGCACTAAAAATGTGTTTACGTATATTAGCCAATGTATGTCTACTTTATCGCTCCTTTTGACAAATTAAAGCAAATGGTATAAAATAGTATGGGGTTTTTTGGTTTGGGTTGTTTATTTTTAAGTGGACAATGGCACTATGTTTTTAAATGACAGGGTTTTTAAATAAAATGAAATCATTCTGTGTTCATTCCAATGTAATACATTTACCAATATCTTGAAACTGAATGTCATGTTGCTTTTTTTTATATTTCATTAGAAATTGTCAGGTATGTGCCTGAGATTGTGTAGGACTAAGGAGTAGCTAGAGGCTAACTGTAATCATATATTATTAGCCGTTTCTATATACACAGTATAAATACATATTAATTTTCTTTTCATTTTTGTACTTGATTTTTTTAGGTAAGATGTAATTAAATGTACTTTGATACTTCTGAAGTAATAAGATGTTGTTTGAAGATCAATTCTGCTTTCTTTAGTGCATTGACAATATTTTACAATAATTTAGTGCTTATTTATTTGTGCTCCGGTGTAATTATAATAAAAAGCAATAGTTTAAAATATTTGGCTGTTCATTTTTGTTTGATAGTTTAAGTTTAGAGACAGGTTACGCACTAGGGATTAGCCAGAGATTCCTGGGAGGAAAAGTCAAGTCATAGATGTATATTTATAGCATTCCCTAGGCTATACATTTTTAATCGTACCATTTGTTGGAGGAAATGAATTAATTGCTTTAATAGGTTAGTATTTGCAAGTCATGCCTCATTGCATCTAATGCCATGAGTGCCATCCTCAACTAAATCCTTAGGATAAGATTTCTCTGAAGAGCAGATAAGTTTTTGTCTAAGCACCTTTCACAGTTTGGAATGGCAGATGCTCATTTCAAAGACACCCCCTTCAAAGATCTCCATTTGCAGAATATCCTCAAATGTGAGAGGGACCTATCACACTCTCCATAAAGCTCTAAAAAATCTGCTCAAAAGTAAGCATAATCTTCCTGTTTCCAGACAAAGGCTTTAGTCCCATGAGGATGTAAAACCCAGCCCTTGCAGAGGAATTCCACAACTTTTTAAAGACATCTCCCCTAATATTTTTAAGAAGGCATTTTGTAATTTTAAAAGGTTTCCAAGAACAAGTAAGCAAACAAGTAGTTAATAAAGAAGCCAGTCAGAAACAGTAAAGCTCTTGCTGTGCCACTGAGACCATATTTCTCTCCTTTCATGAAAAGAAGCTGCCTCCAATATACAAAAAAGTCTTATCCTTGTCTGTACAGATCTGCATGCATGCAGAAGTGCACTGGGAGGGAGAAGCTTTTGGTTGTCTTCAGCAGGACCTGCTTCTGGGACAGGTTGCAAATGATCCAGAAGGTGCTTTCCAAGTGCTTCCCTGTCCCAGGAGTCACCTGCTTTCCCCAAGACACAGCCTCTCTCCTCAGCAGCAATGCCACTGACAGGGCCCATATATAGGATGAAGAACTTTGCTACCCCTTCATGCTCCTCTTCCTCTCCCCAGCCCCTGACACAGATGTTCAGAGTGAGGCATCCTCTGAAGCAAAGTCCAGCCTTTTCTCACTGGCTCTATGTTTTGTAGAAGACCCCATATGGATGACTAGAAATTAACACTGTTTTACAGGGATTTCTCCAGCCCTAGAAGAGGAAAAAAGAATTTGTCCATTTGTCAGATTCATGTCTGTGCTCTTCAGTGGTATGGTTCACAAAGTCCTGTGTCCTAGCTCATTTCTAAATGACTGCCATGATGACTTCCAACATTCACTTCACCCCACATCACATTCCTGACCACTTCTGGACACTGCAGCACTTGAACAGAGAA